TTTTTTTTTTTTTTCTTTCTGTTTATCTGTAATTTGTAAAATTTTCTTGACCATTAAAGAGTTTAAGGGAATTTGAAGCAAGCATACGTATACGGTGGACAAGTCACTTTGGTATAAAAATTACAGTATAATTCTAAAATTGCTAGCTGTAGCTAGCCACATTTGGTTGCCGATAGGGAAGTTTTCCTGTTTGATTTTTAGTAGAGGAATATACCAGCACAAATTCAGTTTTTAACTTTAATATTAGCCTGCACAACAGTGTTAATTTATGCATTTTTTCCCATAATATTTTTGTTAGCAGCATTGTGACAGTCAGTTACTATCCTACAAAAAAATTTTTAGCTGAACAGCATTTTTACAAATTACTTCAAGAAACTGTTCTTTGTTTTTGTTTTTGAAAAATTCGATATGAAACTATGAGTTTGGAAAAAATACATTCTTTTTGAAACAAATACCTTAAAAAATGATTGGTCGCAAATGGGTAAGATAATTTTTTTCATTTTTTCAGGATTCTCTTACATTTATAATTCAATCGAAATGTCACAGCTTTTTAGAAAAAACCTTTAATGCTTTATAAAACAACTACTGTTTACAGCAAACGATATAAAGGTCTCACTTTTTAACATTCGAAGTAGAGTTAATTGCATATTTCTGATAGATACCAGCCGATTTAAGTGATTTCTTTTTTTTTGATTTGGCACTACTAGTATGGTGTGGATGAATTCTGCCGTAAAAAAGCTAAAATATACGTTTAATTTGGGATGTTTGTTCGATTAGATGTGCGGTTATTTGTCTGTGTATCCGTTTTTGCGTGTATGGAAATTTCTTATTCTTAACTTTTAATAAAGCTTTCTAGCAATTTTTCTGATACAAAAGAACGTTTCCTTTTTCTTATTAAATTTTATATTTTATTGTTAGACTGGCAAAGTTGAATATCACTGCTATTGTTGACTGCTTGGCAGTAGTGGTAGCGCTTGGTATCGGTTTCCATTTCATCTGAATGAAGGTTGATTAAAGTCTGAAAAACGACAATAATCAGCGATGATTTTAAGCAACAGTTGGGATGTTCGGGATATAGTTTTAAAAAATTTTTGAACGTTTTTTGTACTTTGCCTTAGTTCGTTGTTATTCCCCTTCTTCTGCTCTCTATTTCGCCTTTTTTCTGCTTTATTTTTTGACGGTAAAGCGGTTATTTTTTTTAGATTTATCTGACTTAAGTTGGGGGAATTCTGTATGGGTTCGTAGTTAACAAAAAAAAGAAATAGTAACAATAATAAATATAATTACCAGAATTATCTACAAACTACTTTCCTAAGCTGTTGCTACTGCTGGTATTGTTGTTGATGTTTTTGCTTTCACAAATGATTCTTGATTTTTGCTGAGCGGTACCGTGAACTGTAGTAGTCTCGTTATTGTTACTGTTGTCGTTGGCAGCGGTGGTGTTGTTGGTGGTGAAGATGGTATCACTGTTGTTTAATAATGAAGTTGGAGCTAAAAGAATTGTTGATGGTGATGCTGACGTTGACGATGATTCGACATTCGTTGATGCTGTTGTTGAGGTATTTAGCCTGGCAAAATTTTCTCGTCTCCAACGGATTCGTCGATTTTGAAACCAAATTTTTACCTGAAAATTAAGGTTGCCAAAAAGAGAGTAAATTATATACGCAATATATAATGTATAACTTACAGCAGTAAAGTTTTCTTATTCAAAGATCACCTATCTTATTAAGAAAAACTTTTTTTGTTCTCAAGCTTTTTTTTTTTTGTTTTGTGTTAGGTTGAATGAACTTTGTGTAAGTAGTGTATTTGCTCTAAGTCGATAAACCAGTTCAAAATTGTAATGTTTTTTTAGCTTCTCCTCACTGTTCTTATTGCTGTGCTTTTTTTTTGTTTTACATATTTCAAGTAATTTGAGCTAAGAACGGAGTGTTTTTTTCAACATCTGTCTGTGTATCAACAAGAAGATGGTATTCAGACTACCAATACTTCGTCTATCTTCAAACTTTGATTAGGAACTGCCTAAAGAATTTCCAGAAAAAATGATTTTTTTTTCGTTTGTTCACTTTGAAATAGAGGAGTGAGGGAGGGAGAGGCTAAAGAGTGGGAAACAAAAGATCAGCTATGTGTACAGTTGGTCAAACTATGCAATATATTCTGAAGTTACTCAATACTTGTACTTAAGCAATATTTGTTTTTTTTTTTCTTTTGTTAATTTTTACTTACAATTTGAGTTTAAAAATAGTAACACTCTAGCTAGAAGGTAATAAACTGTGGACTTTTAATGTAGTATCAACAGATATATAGGTGACCATTTTACTTAGAAGTTTCCACTTAGGCAGGGTGTTCTCGCAATAGTTTTTGGACGTACAGCACTTCCAACCTATTCATTATTTGTGTATTTCTTTGAATATATTTAAGTGGAATTTTTTACTAAAAAATGTACTTTTTGTGGCTGTGAACAGAAGAAAAAAAAGTGACTTTAATCATATTTGGTAATATTGCATTTTTCGCACTTTTGTGCAGCATCAAAAATCAATGACCTTTTGGCTATCAATTTAGCCCTATTTTAACGGTAGGGCATTGGTTTTGTGCACTGAGCATTTTCTAATTCAATGCCGCTGTTGTAATGACTGAATTGTCAGTGATATATTCTCATGTAAATGCATGAACGATTTTGCACATGACATGTGGGGTACACATTTGGAAAATAGATTCAAGTTTTACAGTTTTTTCTTTGCTTACAAACCAAACAACTACTAAGTTTTTGGCTTTAATATATTTGGATGATGAAAAAATTTATTCATTTTTATCTCTGTGGTCGCAAATAACCCTTCTGAACACTGACATTATCAGAAGATACTAAAGTAATCTTAGTTTTTTTTGATTTCTAGAAACTTTTTGATGGCGTCTGAATTAATTTTATTAACAAATAATGTTGTGTGAGTGCGCTTTCAATTTATCGAAAAA